CTAATTCAAGTTTTGTGCAAAAACGCATGATCGTTCCGGCTCGCCTGGTGCGTTCCAGCCTACGTTATGTTTAACTTGACGTGCGGCAAATCAAAAAATACAGTTTTTTCGCGGTATATCGTAGCATCATTTATATTTGCTTTCAACTGATAAGGACTTTCCCATAAGTGTGGCGACCGGGAATAACTGGGAGTAAGTGTCACCAGGTGTTTCGGGAGAAGGTTACGTCCATGCAAAACCGGTAAAAGTTGGACCAGTTAGTCAGAGACCGGTTTTCCTGCAAACTCCATGTGAATTTTTTCCTCAAACAATTTTTATCAATTTTTTTCGTTTTGCGCGAAAGAAGGCAAAGTTTGTGCGAAAAATGCATCGGTTACTTTTCTAAAAACCAACGAATATGTCCTGTTATTGCTTGGTACCAGGGACTGAGGCAAAGACCATTGTTCACAAAGATTATGCGTGCACGTACTACAAAATAGTTGAGAGCCATGAAAAAGCGACCTAGGATAGTGTGTGTTTGATACAACCCTCACAGAAACTCTAGCAAAGATGTACTTTTATATATATGGCGCGCCCTGTCGAAAATTTCGAAGACAATTCTAGAACATCTATCCAGCATCCTCCGTCTTTGTGATATAATTTAGTAAATGTGAGGCGGTTTTTTGTGTGAATTATAGAACTACTGGCCAAGCAAAGTTTATTTTTGAGCCCAAAGAAGTTAAAGTGAGGTTGAGGGGAACTACGACGGATTTGCGATATTTTTTGCTACCCCTTGATATTACTTCAGAGTATTTAGCCAATATTTCGCCAAAACATTCCACCAAAAACCAAATTCTATCCGACGATACTGTAGGGAAATCTTTTTTTGGTAAACTGCCCAATTTATAGTTGGAAATTTCAGTAAATCGTGGTTCTGTTTAAAAACACCCATATTGCATAAAATACATGTACTATACAGGTTTGGGCTATGTTGTCGCATAGGTAAGCTTTCCGCACTGTATATAAACCATATTCACGTCCCATGCGCTCAAGACAACATGCCGTTTTGTATAATTCACCTATGTTGCATCTATAATATACACAGCACTGATACAGAAGCGATGGCACACTTATATTACCAGCAAGTCGTACATTCCAGTATTTTTTTCAGCGTCCCCTAATTATTCCAGACTACTTGAGTTCCTGTA